TCAGATCCTAATGTGTGGCCATGACTTAGTAAGGCGTGGGAATGAGATAAGTCGTGGCCACGGCTTAGTAAGTTGTGGGAACAAGATCCTAATGTGTGGCCATGACTTAGTAAGGCGTGGGAATGAGAAGTCGTGGCCACGGCTTAGTAAGTTGTGGGAACGAGATCATAATGTGTGGCCATGACTTAGTAAGGCGTGGGAACGAGCTAATTAAGTCATGGCCACGACTTAGTAAGGTGTGGGAATAAGATCCTAATGTGTGGCCATGACTTAGTAAGGTGTGGGAACGAGATAATTACGTCATAGCTACGACTTAGTAAGCCGTGGGAGCGGGATCCTAATGTGTAGCCATGACTTCGTATAGTGTAGGAACTAGATCCTATTGTGTGGCCACAAGTTAGTAAGGCATGGAAACGAGATCCTAATGTGAGGCCATGACTTAGTAAGTGTGGGAACGAAATCCTAATGCGTGGCCGCCACTTAGTAAGGTGTGGGAACAAGATCCTTATGCAGGGCCACAGCTTAATAAGGCATGGAAATGAGATCCTAATATGTGGCCATGACTTAGTAAGGTGTGAGAATGAGATAATTAATCCTTGACAATAGCTTAATAAGGCATGATCTTGTTCCCACACCTTACTAAGTCATGGCCACAACTTAATTATCTCATTCCCTCACGTTAATACGGCAAGGCCACGCATTATTGTTATGGATGTAGGATGTCACCAGCAGAGCTCCATAAGGCCCACTTTGTAACTCATTTTATTCATTATTTAGTTATTTATATATAAAGTTTATTTGTTTAAAGATTTTCCTGTAGTTCTCTAAAGCTGCACTACGCAAGATATTTTTACTAAAACTGAAATGTTTCATTAAAAACAGGCTAAAATATGAAGTCTGAGGCTTCGGGTCGGGATTTTTAGTACTAAGTCTTTACGTATTAACGTCACACACAGACCCAAAAAGAAGGTCTCAAATGATCTCAGAATCACATCATACTGATGAAGATGTGATGACAATGGTAGATAATTCACTCACAGCCTCAGAAGACGCTCCTTCACCAAGTTTAGACTGCGTTCTCTCTGAATTCTCTTTATCTGCTCAGGGTAGGAACCAATGTGTTACAACTCACCAATGCAGAACATCAGTGTGATTATGTCATGCAGTTACACATTTCCACCAGAGAGGTCTCCAAATCCCCAAAACTCACATAGTGCAAAAGTTTGTGTTTTTCTGAAACTTTTTCCTGATCAAAGTATCACTGATGGAGGTGGGCTTGCCGAGTGGGATATTGCTTAGGGCTCCCAGATATTTAGAAGCCAATCTAGAGTTGTTTCCATGTATATTTGTTAAAATCAAATCTTTGTCTAATTACGAACTTCTGTTCGTTTACTTTGGGTCTTCTGAAACAGGACTACGTACTAAACATGGAATAACATGGTTTTAACATTTTTCTTACTGGAAAATGGCAAAATTAATAAAAATGGGGGTGGTAACTGCCTTTGCATTTTGTTGCCATATTACAACAGCATGTGACAGTGGAACTGCAGTGTGTAAAGTCGTGGCCACGCATTATTTTTATTTATACAGGATGTCACTAGCAGATACTAGAAGTATACTGTTTTATACAAAAGCCTTCAGCTCCCCAAATTAAACGAAAAGGTTAACTTTAATAATATAGTGAGGAAAAAAATGAAAGAAAAACAAAAAACGTTTCCGTACGGAAACACCATGCAGTAAAGGGTTAAAAGGTCTGTATTTATGACATGGTTCACATGATATGGCTGTACATGCCCTAAATTCAAGCTCATTTTAATAATTACATATTCAAAGAGGAGCTGGCGCACTGAGCCACCTTCAGCTTTTCAAGAAGTAAAAAGTTGCCTGAATGTTAGAATTAACTACCACTGCACTGGCGATCAGCTCTTTCATCAAGATGGTTTATATGAAGCCAGTTTGTACTGAATTTAGTGCAGCTCCACCTGCAGGTTAGTAAACATAAGACGTTCTCAGGTCAGAGCAAATATAAACAGAGAACTTGTAGAGAGGAGAATGTCCACTCTGTGATGTCTTCCAGGTTCCTCAAACACTAGAGGGCGCTCCCGAGCAATTCCAAAATGAATGGCTTAAGATCATAGATATACACACCTAGATGCCGCGTTGCCTGTTGTTCTCTATCTGAGGCGATACGTCTGCGCGTCCGCCATGTTGGAGAGGTCAAGATCTGCTTGTGAACAGATTCACTTGTATTGAGAGACGATGAGTCTCAGGATTAAATCAGCCACAACTTCCTTATTACTCAACCGATTTTCACCAAATCTGTTTAGTTATAATCCTCAGACACAGATTAATCCAGGCTGCACGGATCTGCTCTCAGTAGCTTTTATTACTTTAATAACTGACCATGATAATTAGCCATCTGGACCAGCAGAAAGTATTCAGTCTGTATACACATCAGACACATCAGCAAATCCATCAATGTGTGAATCACTTCTAATCTTAATACACATAAAAATAAAATAAAATAAACCCCCAAAACACAGTAAGAAGGACAAAGCTAAAGTCAGCTTCTTATTTGCCAGCTTCTTGTTCGAGTTTTCCCGTTCCACCTTAAATGGTGCAGCAGTCACTTTCTGGTGCCTGAAGCTGCACCATTTAAGGTGGAACTGGAAAATTCTAACAAAAAGCTGGCGAATAAGAAGCTGATTTCAGGTTGGTGTAAGAAGGTGCAAACGCTAATCTATTATGAATATCTACACAGATTAAGGAATGCTATAACTTACCGAGCTACAAAGCTTTAACCATCACTGTAAATAAATAACTACTACATAAAGTTAAGATCCTGAATAGACTATTAAATGAAATAAGCTTAATATAAAACCAGAGGAAAAACAATCACATCAACAGGTTCTCCGTCCTTCACCAACCACACGGCCATATCTACACAAACACCACACAGACAATACACATCACACAGACATGAGTGTGGATCACTGCGTTCCCTCCGTTATATAATCCTGTCCCACTTTCTGAGTGTAATATTATTGAAATAGTGTAATTTCGGACAGTATCTTTCTTAAACTGCCGCTCTGTAATGGTACTGAATGCAGTCCAGCAGCAATGTTGATGCCGTTCTATATCTATGTGATTAGCTACGTGTTTACTAGATTCAGCTGTGTGTGTGTGGTCGGTTGCTAGGTAACAGACAACAGTTGACTGTCGACTTCAATCGAGAAAGTTAAGATTTCCTAACTTGAGATAAGAAAAGATGCTGTAAGATCAGATTCTTAAATTAAGATCAGATTTGCTTCTGTAATACGAATTTGTGGAAAATCGTATCTTGACCTGTCAGATCTCAAGACAAGAAGATAGGAAGTTTCTGTAAACGGCCCCTGGTATTTAAGATACGAGGTAATACTGTCATTGGCCACAAGATGGCAGCAGAATGACTAGAGTCAACAGGAAAGACTCACCGTGGGTCTCTACAAAACAAACTTAAGGCACATAAAATGTAAGAACTGTAAACACAGAATTAATATTCAATTTTAGATGTTATAGTCATTGATGTAAACTTTAATGTTCATTTTAAGAGGAGATGGATGTCAAGAGGAGGTGTAAGGTTCAAATGAATAATCATAATAATAATAATAATAATAATAATGTCTCTCAAACCTAAAGCCCTACTGATTAATTACAGCACAAAAACATGAAAAATTTGACTTGAAAAGATAAAAAATAATGTAAACGAGTAGCAGGAAATACTTTATTTCTATGTACACTGAAAGGCACTGATAGGGTCGTGTTTGCTGAGTACAGGGATCTCGTTTCTGCAAAAAAAATTACAGTAAAAGCTCAATGATAAATTCAGTGGTTGTGTATTTCTTTACACAAAGAGAAAAAAACAGCAGTACGTAACAGCGAAGTTCTGTTTCACACTTTTAAGAAGACACTTCTGTTTTTCAAACAGAACGTCCTCGGAACCCTGATGCCATCGGGTGCCAAACCTAAAATTTAGGTTCAAAAGAATGAGAATAAAAATATTACTGAGAATATTCTGATGGCTGATGATGCAAATTGATTAGAGTGCTCGGCTGCACTGGAGAGCAAATACAGAACACATTACAGGGAGGGGAATAAAAGAAGGACAAAAACGACAGTGAGGGCACAAAAAGAGATCGTGTAAATACTGACAAACGATTATGATCTATAAAAACTTCCAGGGAAATCATGAAGAATAAGAACAGTGTGCGGCATTTTATAATGAAGACTCCTGACGATGAGCATCAGAGGATGAACTGCGTTCTCCAGCCGAGTGGAGAAACAGGACTAAAAGGAAAAAAGAAAGAAGAGTGATTTAAAATCTGTAGTGTAGATACTACACACGCCGATACAGCTGCATGACCCTGCAGCAGAGGACGAGCCCTGAACACACCACAGGCAGGATGTGTTGGAGGATAAAACGTTCTGTACGTAAACGGGTTCACCGGCAGCGCCAGACAAAAGCCTGGAGAGTTCACTCGCTGAGAGTGACTTTATGAACTGAAGAAACCGTGATGAAGCCTCTTCATCGGTTGAGTACGGCTGGTTTAAATGCTAAAGCATTCAGACACCAGGACATAGTCTAAATGCATCCAGACAGCCCTTCTAATGAGTGAATTCAGCCTCTTTAAAGGGGAAAATTAAACAGTTCACTGTGGAGAAACAGAGACTCAGACTGCTTTACAGTGGTGGTGATAGGAACCAGACGTCCACCTCTAAAAGCTCCCTCACAGAAAGTTCCTACAGTAAATGGTTATGAATTCACTGCCTGATGACTGAGACACTGTTTTATGATAGTTTTGAAATAATGTTTTTATATCTGATTCACTGTTTCCACCTCAAACACTGAATTAAATAGAAGGTATGGAGAAAAGGACAATTCCACCCATTTTTCAAACTTTCTAAATAATTCAGTGTGTGAGGTGTAAACAGAGAGATTCAGAGCGGTTTGGTGTGAAATGGTTCAGATGTCTTTACAGTGGTGGTGGTGACAGGAACCAGGGGTCGCCATGACTACAACACAAATATAGACATTTTATTTACTATCCAGAACCACCAGTGAAGCTATTTACCTCACACTGCACGCACCTCTCTTCCATGAACATATTTAATACAAGTATTAGGACAAAACCTGTACATCAGTGACGTAATGCTTATAAATGACTTTCTACCTCACAGCACCCTCCATCATGTGAGGATTTAAAAGGCCAAAATCATCTCAAAGCTATCCTAAAACCATGTCTCAGACATCGGGCAGTGAATTCATAACCACTCAGAATGACTTAAATAAGGAGAAATTTTGAAATTTCAGTGGAATTTCCCTTTAAACTGCACCCTTTGCTGATACAGGCACACACCGCAGGTTTACTCTCAAACAGTAAAGCACTGACCATCAGACTGGGACTCCAGGGAAATAAAACTCCCACTGCAGCCTGGGGGTGGGGAGGGGGCGCTACACCTACGGCTGAATGATTTGGGGACAGTAATCTAATTTTTGGACCACTATTATGATTTAAATTACACTTATTTTGTATGAATTGAGGTCCAGGCCTGTTTTTCTGGCCAAGGACACCAGAATTTCCACTGTTCTCCAGCTTCAGCGTAGTGTGCCAGGCAGCCAGTTAGCTGAGGCTGTGATGTCATGTAGGCATCATGTGGGTGTTTAGTTGCTTCTAATTGGTCCAACTCATTTACAGGCGCTTCACAAGCTCTGTATTATTATTAGGCAAAATATATCCTACTTAAATCTTCTAGGTTATAATTAAAATTGCAGCTCTTAACATTTGAAAATTGCACTTTTAAACTGTGATTTTGATCTAAAAACAATTCATTTTTTCCAATACTCCTCTAGCCCACGCTTCGCACTGGACATGTCCAGTCTCACGGGCCAGACATGAACAAGAGTACTCACATGTTAAACCTTTGGTGCTTAAAGTGTGGCAAAATTTGCCAAATGGGGGCACATCCCCTCTAAACCGCGCCCCCAAATTCCTATAGTCCATGCTCTTTACAACCAATAACACACGCAAAACAGCCTAGATAGTGATTTATCTTCTAATTACGGTTTCTGTTTAACTGTTTGTCCCCTTTGTAAGAGGGGATGTTTATGTTTACTGCATTGCACTGCAAAAAAATGGTGTCTTGTCAAGAGAAATGATCTTAATTCTAGTCGATATATCTAATATTTTCCATTTTGAGATGGTTGTGAAGTTATTATAAGATAATCTACCTTATTTCTAGACATTACTTACATGTTTTAAGGAATTTTATAAAATTCTCAGTAAAGGTGGAAAATAATTTTGCTGGTTTCAAGCACATTTCACATAACTGCTTTTATCTGCCACTATAGTGAGATAATTTTACTAAATTACCAAAACAAGTAAAAAAAAAAGTCTATATATATGTTAAATAATCTTAAATTACACTTACAACAATCTCAATGGGAGAAATATTACATTTATTGACTATAATTAAGATAATTATATTTGACTAGGTGCCATTTCTTTGCAGTGTGTACTGTGTTCTCTGCACTGGGGACACTCGTCTACATGCTTAAATGGAGTTTACAATGACAGGTTTGTTGTCTGATGGACATTGCAGATGAGTGCACCAGCGCCCCCTACTTTGAGCTCCACCTTCATGAGGTATTGGAGTTGTTTAGGAAGTTTCTCACCCTAAGTCTGTTCCCTCCATATTTAGCCATAAATTTCTCATGGTTGTCCCGTGGCAGTCTCATCAAGAGATCACGAGCTTAGCACTGCTGCTCCAGAGTGTCCCATTCTATTGGCTGATGCTTCTCTATGGAGATATTACAGGTAGATTCACTCGAAAGAGGCCCCAAATATTCTGTAATATCTCTCGCTATGATAAAGCAATCCAAACAAACCTATATGCAATGTGCTCCTCAGTTTATGGAGCTTCGAACAAGCCGGGATGCCCCTGCGTCGGAGCGATGAGGCAGGCGCCGGACAGCCGTCGTGACGTTTAACCTCCGTTTCCAACTTCCGGGTGCATACCCCCGTACCCCTTCATGTGTCTGGCAGAAAATGGAGATCACTTCCAGCATCGATTACACATTCGTCGAGGTATGTAGCGTATCTTTCTGGTTCAGACTGCTTCATCCTAACAGGAGCTACACCAGAACATTCGGGGCCTCTTTCGAGTGAATCTCCCTGTACAAGCCTGTGACAGCAATGGGTGACGTTAAAGCAGCTGAATGCACTCAGAAAGGCTGTCTGAATACCTCTGGGACGAGTGGAATAATGTTTGTGTTCTAAAACTGATCATCCAAATCAGTACCTGGCCTTACTAATGCTCTTGCGAATGCTAATACAATCAAATCCTCACAGCAAATGTTCCAACATCTAGTGTTAAGCTTTCCCAGAAGAGTAGAAGCTGTTACTGCAGCAAACTCACTATTAATACCCTTAATTTCAGAAGAAACGCTGCTGTCTACACACTTTTGTGTATGTAAATGTGGTCTTTGGTTATTAAAAGTGTGGATCAAACCGATTTTGATCCATTTCAAATGATTGAAGTAAAAAACCTGAGTACTGTCCTGATTCTCAAACCCTCGCTGAAGGTTTCGGTGATGAACTCTCAGTCATGATCCATGGGCAGGAGCTCTGAGTGGCTCCGTAAAGTGGACGTGGCTGATATGCTCTGATGGTCCGTGATCATTAAAAATTTGCTGATTGTGACCTGCAGTATTGCCTCCCTCTCTGATGGGAGAGTGAGTAATTGTCTCTTGTTCATTACTGGTCAGTGGTTGGCCCTCTCGCTGACCACGTCCTGCAGGCGCTTCAGCAGAACGTCCTCGCTCTCCTGGTTCAGGCGTTTGGTGGGAGACTCTGTGTCGTCTCCATCCATGGTGAAGGCTCGCTTCTTGCTCACGCTGCCTTGACGGATCATGCGGTTTATGTCAATCAGCTCCTGAAAACAGAGAGAGATATGATCACATCAGCTTTACTTGTACTGAGGACAGCAAAAATAAAGGTGGACAGAGGTGAATCCAAAAAACTGCATTACAAAAGGACTAATTAATTTTTATAACATGTTAAAAGAGAAATCCTCCGATTATTAAATGGTTAAGATATAAACAAAGTCATTCAGAGTGCTCTGATGTGAAATGCTCTGTTCCCGAGTCAGAACTGATGACAGATCGTTTTGCTTGTGTTATTGATTGTAAATGGACTGGAGGAATTTGGGGGCGGGGTTTAGAGGGGATGTGCCCTCATTTGGCAAATTTTGCCACAATTTAAGCACCAGAAGTTTAACATGCGGGTACTCTTGTTCATGTCTGGCCCGTGAGACTGGACATGTCCAGTGCGAAGCGTGGGCTAGAGGAGTATTGGAAAAAAAAAAGAATTGTTTTTAGATCAAAATCACAGATAAAAAGTACAATTTTCAAATGTCAAAGGCTGCATTTTTAATTATAACCTGCAAGTTTTACGTAGGGAATTTTTAGCCTAATAATAATAATGATGATAATAATAATAATAATAATAATAATATTAGTTGAGTTTTACCAATTAGAAGCAACTAAACACCCATATGATGCCTACATGACATCACAACCACAGCTAACTGGCTGCCTGGCACACTACACTGAAGCTGGAAAACTGTGGAAATTCTGATGTTCTTGGCCAGAAAAACAGGCCTTTTCTTGCGGAGGTTATACAACCTATGTGTGCCTGTATCAGCAATGGGTGCAGGTTAAAGGGGAATTCCACTGAAATTTCAACATTTCTGCTTATTTAAGTCATTCAGAGTGGTTTGGTGTGAAACGCTCCATTCTAGAGAAACAGTCAGAACTGCTCACAGTGGTGGTGATAGGAACCAGACGTCCACCTCTAAAAGCTCCCTCACAAAAAGTTCCTACATGAAATGGTTATGAATTCACTGCCTGATGACTGAGACACTGTTTTATGATGGTTTTGAGAACTTAAACTCCATTCATGGTGGAGCGACACATGCAGGGTGCTGTGAGGCCAAATAGCATTCCATATAAACTCAGAAGACTCGTGTAGGTTCACTGGTGGTTCTGGATAGTAAATAAAATGTCTATATCTGTGTTGTAGTCATGGCGACCCCTGGTTCCTATCACCACCACTGTAAAGACATCTGAACCATTTCACACCAAACCACTCTGAAAGTCTCTAGCGTGGGCTAGAGGGGTATAAAGCCCCCCGCATTGGACTGTGGAGCAGTGGAACTGTGTTCTCCAGAGTGATGGACAATAATATAAGAATAACCAAGCCGGGAACCCTGCTTACCTTAGAGGGGCTGCCGCTGAACTTGTACGTGTAGGCGGAGTTGGGGGTGAGGCAGGAGCCGTTCTTATGCGGAGAGAGATAGATGGAGTGTCTCTGAGAGATTCGCCGTGGGGAGAGAGGCTGAGCTCGCACTGAGGGGAACGGAGATAACGGGGGGGCCTCCGTCTGCGAGAGAGGAAGCGAGAAAGCGTGTGAAAAAACAGTGAGAAGGGAAGAAGAGAGAAAAGAGAAAGTTAATAATGTGTTATTTGTTTGTTATTTATTTATTAATGACTGATGCACAGAAACAAACATTCTTGGTCAAAAGCAAAACCACAAATCAGCGTATAGGTGGCGTCGGTGTGCTGTATTCAGCGCATTAAGTAGGACGTCGTGTTTTCAGGTGCTATCACACCTGATGTCTAACGTTCCTTGCAGAAACTGTGAAAACTGTTTGAAAGTGTCTGCGCTGACCAGAAGAACAAACAGCACTTTTAATCGCTTTGATCAGTATTTTTCATTTTCGTTATCATTACAATTTCTTGTAAAGTGTTACAAGTGTTCGACAATCCGCTGCGGCCCTGCTGAATCGTCGTTATGTTTGTTTAAATTTTTAATAAACATTTTCAGGAGATCCCTGATATAATGTACAGTTTAGGTAATGCCTATATGCAGAAGTGGGTAGTAGCTAACAGGGAGGGCGATATGGCAGAAATATTATATCACGATACTTCGAGGCTTTTTCAAGATACACAGTATCCATTATGTAGGTACAGACAAAAATACAATGATGATAAAAATAATAAGAACATACGAATACAATGATTTCTGTTCAATATTTTACAAACAGCACTTCACTAAACCCAATTAAACAGGCCTAATTATACTCACTTTGTAAGTCAGTGTTCTTTAAGTACTGACTATATCCACAATATGTTCAGAAAAGTGTCTTGTCATATCATGATTACGACAAAATATCATATTGCCCACCTTTTACAGCTAAATCCATTTACTCAGTCACCTGTACTTCAGCAGTTTTGATGGGTTTGTACTTTTCTGAGCATTTTCAAATAATATTTTTACTACTACTCAGGTATTAGTCAGGAAAGTAAGCTAATTATTTACATTTTTGTCATTAACATTTAGTTTCTAATTTCTTCTTTGGGTTTACTTTCATTCTGTTACACTGGTGATACAGATGGCGCCATGTTAGCGGCAGCCGACCGCAGCAGCTCTGTCCTGAGAGACGGTATTACTAACCTATATTAGTTGTGCTACTTTTCTTTTAGTCTTTTTACTACATTTATTTCTTTCTTAGTTTTTATCCCTTCTTTCTTCTTAGTTCTGTCTTGTTCAGACATTGTTTTTAGTTCTAAGTACTTATTCACTGAATTTGACATGCACCACTGCAATGTCACCTGCATAATATTTGTGCGATTTTACTTACTTATTTTTCTACTGCACCCTAAATTTTATGGTTGTTTTAGTATATTTTGTTATATATCTTTATTTCCATTTATGAATCTGTGTAATAGCACACAGCAATACTTTTGCTCTTGTTTTGCTCTTTCCTGAACTTTGTGCCGCTGTAATAGATGACTTTCCCTCTGGGATTAATAAAGTGATCCATCATCTAAAGCTTTATGACTATTCAGACTCTCACTTTTCAACCTTATCTTTTTGTTTTAGGGCAAGAGTTCATAAAGAAAAGAGATGGATAGAGCCCAACTTTAGTTCCAACGCTGGCAGACGCTGGATTTACCATGTTGTTCCGATTCCATAAATTACTCCATCTTCTACTTTTGTACTTCTACCCAAGTTGTTGTTGTTTGTTTTATTTATTTTTTTTAAGTACTTCAATTGCAGCCATTATTTCACTGAAGTAACAACACTTATGTGAGTGTGGGTTTAGGCTGCTCTCCCTGCCTCAGCCTGTAAGCTGTCATGCACAGTTTGCACCTTGAGACTCGTCAAACACCCCGGAACGTGTACAAAAGGCAGCACATGGGAAATCAGGAGCTGTTTGACGGTGGAAGTTCAGAGTTTTTTTCCATGTTACAGGAAACTGTCCTGTATTTATCTGCTCTCATGAATCTGGTGAGGACTAAAAAACACAGACTCAACTCCAGAAATTTGCTTGTTGGCCATTTTCGGCCTGTATCACACGTCTACACGTGGCTCGTTTATCGTGAGAGTCACTAAAACATCATGGATATATTTATTTTACTTAAGCACTTTTATCAGGGACATTTGAACTAGCGCTGCCATAACAATCTTCTCAGTGAGTAAAAGTATCTACATACCCGACTATCAGATGTTGGAAGAGCATATTTGAGCGCGAAGTTCTTCATCTTCAGAACATAAACAGAGTTGTAGAACTGGATGAGGTCACCCCTCTCCTCCTCCGATTCGCTGTCAGCTGTCCTCTCATTGGCTGGTTAATGACACGGTGCAATTAATATTCAAATAAAAATAATAATGCAAATGAAGTAGAGACGAGCGTGGGCTGACATCCTTACACTGATCTGCTGGTGGGTCCACCTCCATGTTCTCATCAGCCTGCTGTTCTCTGACTCTTCTCCTCAGCAGCACACTGCGGTACACCTGGACAGGTCACACCCACTCATTACAACGCCAGACTTCCCCGTCACCATTAACAACCTGCTTCTACAAAGACGCTCTACTTACGTGGCTGCTTGCTTGAGGTTGGCTTCGATAGCACTTCATAATGTCCTGAAACGTGTGCTCCTCTTTGGAGATCTGTTTAGATAAGTAGAGAGAACATTACATGTCTACACTCTCAGAAATAAAGGTACTAAACTGTCGCTGGGTCAGTGCCCCTCTTGTCACTGGGGTGGAACCTTCAAGGGTCCATCTCAGTACCTTTAGTCAGGGAACATAACTGAACCATAATCCACTGAAATGATATGTTCTAAGCTGTACTGACTCCACACACCCCGTCTCGTCTCCAGGACTTTATTTTACTGTTCTGTTTAAAACATTCGGTTATGAAAAGGTACAAATACAAACTTTTCACCTGGAAACACTTATTTAAGGTTCACAATCAGACCTTAAAACCACTGTTGGAGCTTTGAGGGAACATTTACACTGTTTGTACCTTGATGAATGAAAAATGTACCTGAACAGAACCTTTATTACTAACAGTGAACTGCTAACAAATTCAGTATCTTGCTAACATGGCATGTAATGGGGATCGTTGTTATTCAGTTGCTCTTTTAAGGGGAAAAAATCCACTGATCTTTCAAACTTTCTGCATGATTAACTGGTTAAGAAGTAAACAAACTCTTTTAGAGTGGTTTAATGTGAAATGCTCTGTTACGAAGAGTTTAATGTGTGTAAAAGCTCCCTCACAGAAAGTTATTACATGAAATGGTTATGGATACACAGCCTGATGACTGAGACACTGTTTTACGATAGTTTTGAGAAGATTTTGGTCTAAAAAGTGTTTCTAAAATCCATTTATGACAAAGGGGTACATGCAGGGTGTTGTAAGGCAAAATAATCCCCAAAGAAAACTTCTTAATTTAGATTTACCATTATTTTGTTATGTGTGTTGTAGTCATGGCGACCCCTGGTTCCTATCACCACCACTGTAAAGACATCTGAACCATTTCACACCAAACCACTCTGAATCACTCTGTTTACATCTCAACCACTAAATTATAAACAGTATATATACACGTTATATTAAATTATATAATTATAGGAAAAAAACTGGAATTTCTCTTTAAATATCATCGTCCACAACTGCTTACAGTGCGCAGCCTTGTATGGTTTTCGCTGCAATGTGACAACTTACCATTTATCAAAAAAAGCACATAAATTACTTAAATACTAAAATACTATTTAAACTGAACAAATAACCTGAGTCAGGAATTTAAAGAGACGTCTGTCTGCACCAACACTCACACAATTCGCCCAAAAATGTTCAAATAACTGCTTAATCTGTTAAGCATCTGATTTAGGACTGCCTCCATGTTTGAAGTAAATTAAGTCTAAAAAGCATCCCCTTAGGCTCCATGAGAGATGCTGGAACTTGCCTTGGATATGATGTAGACAGCACAGAGCAGAAGCTGATCCAGGTGTCTGTCCTTCATCAGGTCTGGGCAGTGGACCAAGGAGTGTTCAAAGCATGTCCAGATTTTACCTCTCAGTTCTGCAGAAATGTCCAACTTCAGGCACAGATCCCTCAGACGCACACTGGCTAAATGATAAACCTTCACAAAATGAAACACAACAGGATATATTTAGCAGTGGGGAACCTACAGGGGGCCTAAGGACCCCTTACATACATACATATATATATATATATATATATATATATATATATATATAAACAACTTGGCGTTACTTTAGTTTGCTAACATGATAACGATTCTGCACATGTTTAGATTTGCAAGTTGTGTCAATCAGTATGATTTGCTTTGCGTAGTAAACTTTAATGTAACAGATGTTATTTACCAAACACTGAAGTAAACAGGCACTGTCATTTTGGGCAGCTTACACAAAACTTTAAAATGTCTGTTTTACGCAGAAGCACTTTGATTCTTCTGGACAGGAAACTGGCAGCGTGTCATGAGTCAGATGCTCTAAACTAGTCTGAACTAATCTCAAAACTCTTCTCTCATGAATGTTTCGCCTTTTACACTAAGGGCGTTTTCACACTTGGGCCGTTTCAGTGTCTTAAGTGGACTCAGAACGCTGAGTCATGGTTTTCTGTTCAAATGTGAACACGACAAACAAACTCAGACCCCCTAAATGGCTCTGAAAACGAAAGGAACTGAGACCACCTTCGTTTGTAGTTTGTTTTGTTGCTTGATTGATTTGTGCATTGTGAAAACAAAACCAGCTCCAGTCCAGTTTAGCTTTGCTTTACGGTGAAGACCTCGAGACTCAGTGTACACACAGACACAGTCTTCAGCACTCCAGCCGGTAAAAACAGACCAAGGACCATTTATGAGGCTCTACTAAGGATAAAGTCTGTCTGTGATCTGGGACAAGAGAACAGCCCTGACATATTAAAGCGGTAAGATGCGCGGAGATTTTACAGTGTTAAAGGCTCACGCTGGGCACGCAACGCACACACTGAATGATGAATGAATGAAAATTCACTGCTGCTCTTTCAAAACACGGTTTCATCGCAGATTTTCGCCGGGTGGAGTTCTGTGAGGAGAGTAGCCAAAAACGGAACCCACCGCACTTCGGCCAATCGTTTCAGAGTGGCCAATAGCAGAGCAGCAGGTGGGTCTGTAGTTCCGCTGCCCACTTCGCGAGTACTGCACACACCGTGAGTGCTGTGAAAGGGGTCTGAGTCGTGGTCTGACAGTGTTTTCACATATAGTTCGTTTTAAAAGAACCAAACTGAGTTTTGTTAAAGTGAACCTGGAAGGGAACACTTTTTGTGTACACAATGTAAGTGAACTTTAAAGAGGACTCAGTTTCAGGTCCTTTGAGATCTCAGACCATTTTTGTTCAGACCATAACTCCACTAGAACTCAGACCCCTTTCACACCACTAAATCTGATCTTTCAGGTGGCGAGAAGAACCACCAGCCCCGTCTGCTGCTCTCCTATTGGCCACGCTGAAACGACTGGCCCGAAGGGCATCGCACAAAATTGGAAAAGCATGTTCCTCTTTCGACTGTGCTCATTACTGACTGCACCCGGCAAAAATACGCGCCAACGGGGAATTTTCATTCATTCACCGTTCAGTGTGAAAGCAGCTTGCGCTGCATGCCCAGCGTGAGTCTTTAACACTGTAAAATCTTGCGGACTCTCGCATCTTAACGCTTTAATACGTCAGCGCTGCTGTCTTGTCTCAGATCACAGACAGGCTTTATCCTGAGTAGAACATTATAAATAATGCTTGGTCTGTTTTTACCTGCTGAAGTGCTGATGACTGTGGCTGTGTGTACACTGAGCCTCGAGGTCTTCACTGTAAAGCAAAACCGGACTGGAGCTGGTTTTGTTTCCACAATGCGCAAATCAATCAAATCACAAAACGAACTACAAACGAACCGAACTGATTTGGTTCGTTTTTGGGGCTGTTTAGAGTGGTTTGTGTTCGTTTGGCGTGTTCACATATGCAAAAGAAACCATGACTCAGCAGTCTGAGTCCACTTCAGATGCTGAAATGGCCCAAGTATCCAGTCTTGGTAACATCCACCGAGAACCAAAGAGAGTGTCATGTGTTCACTGTGGCTGTTAAACCCCCAGCCTGCACTCCTCATCCTCACCTTGCGGAAGAAGAGGGCGAGGGAGCCGGTGCGGCGGGGTCTGTTGGCCAGCTGTGTTTGTGAATCAGGGCAGGTGGGAGGAGCAGGCGCTCGCGTCGGGGAGGCAAGCAGCACCTGAGCTGTGAGGGGGTTCAGATCGTTGGCCTGGACCTGAATCACTGTGATGCCTCCCATTTCATTTTTCATCACTGTGAAGAGAAACAGAGCAAGAGCGTTCATCAGTCACTACATACAAATGCATGTTAATGTACCAGATGTAGTAGATAAGCACTGTTATTCTGGGCAGCTTACACAGGTACACTGTAAAACCTTAGAACTTCTGTTGTCCATCGGCCGTCACATCAAACTGTACAGTACATAGAAGCGCTTCGATTCTTCTGGACAGGAAACTGGCAGCTTGTCATATGAGACTGATGAGAAGGGATTCTGGTCTAAACTAAAGTGTGAACTAATCTCTAAACTTAAAAATAACAGGTTAAAATAAAATAAAATAACAGGTTCATAAAGGCATTGCAAGAAGGTGTCTCAGTATTTCTCAACACAAACTGAAACCTGACTGTCTATTTCTAAAACACCTTGAAATTTCCAGCAGATTAAAGCTGCAGGTAGGTTGCGAGGCATTCACTTTACCACCAAAGTACCACTGGACATTATATGTTGGGCATTAAACTGTCAGTTCATTTAAGCCTAATTCTTGTCAAAGAAGATAATGTGCTGCTTTACTTTGTACAAACAAAAAAAGAAACTAAAACAGAAGAAACGACATAAACGTAGACGCCAGGATTGCTGCAGAATGTTTAAATCAAACTCAGTGCTTTTTTAAACCTTGTAAGAGACCCCAACAGAGAGAAAATACAATTTCCACCACACAACAACTCACACAAACTCAAATATGGCAGGTATTAATGTCTGTTTTTATAGAAAAACAGATCTAAGTGCCATTAGGCCTCTTCTCAATTTCCCTTTATAGCCCTCTTTTCCCCACACAAGTTTTCTCACTGGGTTTGGCCTTATTAGTTATGCATCCTCTAGTCTTTCAATACTCTATTTCTGACAATAGCACAGGATTCATTTTCAGTGGGGTTATTTTTACCAGCAGTGCATCTAATGTTTATTACTGGCTCAAACTGGATAAGAAATCTCAGTATAAATTAGAGATCAGTGGAGTAACACAACTGAACACAAACAAATTCATATGCAATACATTCAGCCGAGTAAATTGTGTCCAAACACTCTGGCCCTGTCCCATTTCTTATTTTTACCCCTACCCCTTGTTTTCGAGTGTCTCCTTGCCCCTTGGAACTGAGTTACTGAGGGGTAGTGGTTGAAATCTTCCCTCTGAAATGGGACCCTGAAATAAACAGAGCATTACTTCATTAACAGCTACCAGCGCTGCTCTGTAGGCGACCCTGCCAGTCTGCAGTGACAGCAGAGGAGGGTAAAGTGCAGCTCCTCACTGCTGGGCTTTAGTTACATTTAGGGAATCATATGCCTTCAAAGAGGGGGGCAATTATTTATTATCACCCACCCCTAATTCTTCAGTGAAATGAAGCTGAAGTCAGATATTCACCAGCTTCTCGTTCGAATTTTCCCATTTCCCCTTAAATCGTGCAGCATTTCTGATGCCCAAGATGCCAGAATGTAACTGCTGTACCATTTAAGGTGGAGTGGAAAATTTATCTAGCTGGCGACCGAGACATCAGCTACTATTAGTGATTTTTTATGCTCGTTATGAAGAAAAGGACCATAATACACTGAAACGACATTAAATTAAGAAAATACAATGGTTATCGTAACATGCAACAGAGAAAATTCTCACATTTGTGGGTTTCTTTGGTCTCTTGTTCAGCCGTCTTGCCAGCTTTTCTCTTTTTGGAGTGTCTCTGAAAAACCTCGGTTTGGAGGACGGTTAGCCCTAACACTCCGCCCTACCCCTCTATCTCGATAAAAATCAGGACAACCTACCCCTAAACGTGAACGCATAAAATGGAGGGGTAGGGGCTGAGTGGTAGGGGCGAGGGGTGAAATGGGATTGGGCCTTAATTAGGTACATTAACTACCAGTCACTTAACTAAGTGAATGCAATCACATAATGAAGCAAACAATTTACATGTTTTAATGTTAATGAGACATGAACTTGAGTTAGGACAACACATATACAATAGATTTGGGTCCCCGAGAATACAAGTAAATGCTCCAGAAGACATCATGCTGTACTTACAGACAATAATATAACCTGACATGGTGGATAGGAACAGGACTAAAAACAGGACAGAAAACCACCTGTAAGGATCGACAGGCACTCTGCCTAATCAGAATGGTTGACCCAACAATATCTGCACAAGCAGTGTCACACTCAAAACGAAATAACGTACCTGGCAAGGGAATATTGAGCTGCTGGCCGTTGGCGGTGGACATGGAGAGGACAGTAGTCGTGTTGGCATGTTGGCTGCTTTCTGCAGAGGCGCTGGGTATGATTTTTATGGGGGTGACTGAGATCCTCTTCACTGGAGACTGAGGTTGAGGATCATCACCAAACAAGCGTCTTTTGGCACTGCCGGCCGCTGGGGAACTGAAGCGGTCATGGAGGGAGATAGGAGATGGAGGGACATCTGAAAAACAGAGGTAGAGAGAGAAATATTAAAATACAACATGTATGGTAATTAATTCATAGTACATGATTAATACAAGATGAAAGACTCAGTCTTTGGGTGGGGTGGATTCGGAAATTGTTCTCAAGACCAGCTGAGTGCGATGCCTCCGTCACTGGAAACTGAACTGTTTTCTACAATTACTGAACATCAACAAACCAAAGAGAATAAAGTAGTCTTCTCTCTTTTCTCTCTGTTTAAATTAAACTATTCTGGCAGTTGAGGATCTAATCAATCCTTCCCCTGATGCCTTAACTGGGTATTAATTGTTCGTTGATGTTAATTGGTTACAAAATTCAAATATCTGCTGAGGGCAGATCTGAAAGTTATGTTTTCATTTAATAATAATGAATCTATGTTGTATGGTTGATATTCAGTTGATTTTTGGTGGTGATTCTGAAGTTTTAGAGAAGAGGGACTGAGAAGAAGCTCACCATTGACTCCTTTGAAAAGTAATAGTGCAAAGTTTCATTAAAAAAAAATATATATATATATATATATATAATTTTTTTTGTTTTTGGACTACATTATTAAATATAATATTTTACAAAATACATGATAAAATATAATTAGTTTTATATATACACACACACACACACACACACATACGCATATATATATATATTGAATACTAATCATACTAATGAATACTAATAATAATTATGTATATTGAATACTTATGAAGGTGCACTTTATTTTTATATTCTGAAAAACCTCTTAATCTGGTCTGAGTCTCTGGTCCCTTCATACTCGCTTCTAGTGGTCTCGGCTACAACACAATCAGAGACACAATAAGCCAGGGGTCGGCAAAGTGCGGCTCCAGAGCTACATGCAGCTCCACAGAAGAATTAGATTTCCAAGTAAAAATAAAATAATCCTCCTTTGCAGTAAAATAAAGCTCTGCTGAGTGTAAATGGTCTTTAACATTGGAGTTAATTTATAAACAAACAGTCTTATATGCTGCTAAATTACCACCCTTCAACACTTAAGACTGGCCCTGAAGACTGCTGGTCACACAGCAACGCAGACATCGGTCACGCCTAGCTAGTAGCTAACAAAATGGCCAAGACGATCATTTAAAGATGAATATAAACGCAAATAAGTCCAATCCCTCCAGCTGGTGTCCTGATACATTTAATCTGCGAGGCTCAAGTCAGCTTCTGATTCGCCAGCTTCTCGTTTGAATTTTCCCGTTCCACCTTAAACAGTGTAGCAGTTACATACTGGCACCTAAGGCACCATTTAAGGTGGAACGGGAAAGCAGAACAAGAAACTAGAGCATGAGGAGCGACTTCAGCCATTTAAAAAAAATCTAACACTGGGAGACATTTTACAAGAAACTATTTAATTTTGAGGAAAAGTTTCCTGCCAGAGATCCGAGAAAAACAGCTATAGCCGAGCTAAAGCTTAAAATAAAGCAAAGTACGTCTGTTTTCGTTTATATTTTTTAGCCTATACTAGGACATCAGCACATACTGAGACATATTTACAGTAAAGATGGAAAAATGTTCAATAAAATGGATACAAAATGTTGTGGCTTCCAAGGTGGTTTCATTATTGTTGAAAGGACAAAATGTCTGTTCTTAACATTTGGGCTGCGACCCCTGAAATAAGCATATTTGCTTCACTCTATCCAATTGATGCAAACTCATACAATCTGATACACCTTAAGGCCTTTTGTCTGGGGTGGTGCTGTGTGAGGTACCTTTGCGAGCGCTGGAGCCGAGGCCGGTGCGGACCTCTCGTAGGCGGGGGTGGATGATGGGAGACAGAGCCACCAGAGGGAGATGGGTGGGGCCACCACTACTGCTGTTACTGCCCGTGTCAAAACTACTAGGGAAATTCACCTAAAACACACAGATACATACTCAAATATTATACTCAATGCACTAATGTATAATCAAAATCCATAAACTGTATATCAGAAAGATGCTTTTCTATCTGCCTTTGTGTGTGTGCGTGCAAAGTCGGCAAGTCATTACTTAGGCCCAGTCCCATTTCACCCTTCACCCCTACCACTGAGCCCTTAGCCCTCTGTTTGCGCGTTCACATCTAGGGGTAGGGTGTCCCGATTTTTGTTGAGATAGAGGGGTAGGGTGAAGTGTTGGGGCTACATGGCCCTCCAAACGGAGGTTTTTCAGAGACTCCAAACAGAGTTATGAGAAAAAAAAAGAAAAAACGCAAGATGGCTGAACAAGAGACCAAAGAAACCCACAAATGTGAGAATTTTCTCTGTTAAAAATCACGATAATCACTGTTTTATCTTAGTTTAATGCTGTTTCAATGATTTATGGTCCTTTTCTTCATTACAAGCAGAAAAAAAATTATAATAGTATGTTAACGTCTCAGTAGCTAGATAGCTAACTTTCCCGTTCCACCTTAAATACTCCAGCACTTCTGATGCCTGAAGCGCCAGAATGTAACTGCTGCTCCATTTAAGGTGGAACAGGAAAATTCCAACAAGAAGTTGGTGAATATCTGACTTCAGCTTCATTTCACTGAAGAATTAGGGGTGGGTGATAATAAATAATTGCCCCCCTCTTTGAAGGCATATGATGCCCTAAATGTAACTAAAGCCCAGCAGTGAGGAGCTGAACTTTACCCTCCTCTGCTGTCACTGCAGATTGGCAGGGTCGCCTACAGAGCAGCGCTGGTAGCTGTTAATGAAGTGATGCTCTTTTTACTTTAGGGTCCCATTTCAGAGGGAAGATTTCAACCACTACCCCTTGTAACTCAGTTCTAAAGGGTTAGGGGTGACACTCAAAAACAAGGGGTAGGGGTAAAAAGGAAGAAACGGGACTGGGCCTTACTATTTCAAGAAAAGGAGATTCCAGACATCAGTGAAAAGGATTCTGTTACATATAGATTGCTAAATGGGGCTTCTAGCAGGTCGGGGGTTTTAAAGTAGACATGCTCTGCAGAGGAATCTTGGTTCTCATGGCTACCCGTGCTTCTGTATACCAATTTTTGTTAGTAAGATGGAAAACAAATCATCTATATACTAGTAGAGAGCAACTGCCACACTGTGAAACCAATGCAAGATAATACCTGGACTAGAAAAAGTAAAAAAACATCTAAATTTGCCAACAGGTGTGTGCGTGGGTGTGTGTTTGCTGTAGCACCGTTTTTATTTGCAGTGTAACATGTCCACACTAAAACTACCCCAGGCCCTGATTTTGGGAGTCTCCTCTTGCCTGTTCACTGCTGTATTTTTCAACTGCTGTATTTCATTATTTAAGCTGTGTATAGTGTACTAGTGCCTATATTCGTTTACTAGTCTGCTACTACTCCTACTATGGATGTGAGTGTGTCTATACGTACCTCCTCTACGGTGGGAACTTTATTGTTAGCGTTCTGTAAAGCCTCCCACAGTACAGAGTCTTTAGTCCAGGCCCTGCTCTCCAACACCTGCTCCTCTATAGTGTTCAGGTGTTTGACCATGTCTCTGGAGAGACCCTCCTCAGAGCGGATAAACACCTCTATCACCTGCAGACGAGAATTTTGATGTTATTTTTATTAAAACAAGACCAAATTTGCAGCAAACAAAAACACACACACTTTTATTTTTGTAAATCATATGAATCCGGCAGCTGTCCTTCATATTTGTCTTCATATTCCACACATTTGAGTGAAAAATATTACGATTAATGAACCAATAGAAACAGTTCAGAATCACTTGGAACGAAACCTCTTTACATTTACTAACATTAGAAATTTTTCCTACCCCTGTGAAGTTACCATTTTAGATTTACATGTTTTTGTTTGGGGAAAATATCTAATTTCGATTTTTCTGACTAATACTGAGACTGCGATTAGTTTCTATAAATTAAGGTTCAGGCTTTTTTGCCAATACGACCAGAAGATCCACTTCTTCTGGCTTGAGGCTCGACCCCTGAAGGTAGTGAGCCAGAGAGCCAGTAAGTTGTGGTTGTGATGTCACAACACATGGAGGTTTGGTTGCCTTTGATTGGTTTAACTCATCTTTACGAAGTTCACGAGCTCCGAGTTATTAGGTTAAACTTTCCCACTTAAAATGTAAGACAGAGCTGAGGTAGGCTGTAATGATTTTTAAAAAATGCAGCTCTTACAATTCGGAAATTGTAATCTGTGTGTAATTTTGATTTATACAACAGTTAGTTCCGGCCACGCGAGCTGACTGGTTGAGAAGCGTTTTAACCGTGCGGTTATTTCACCATAACATCACGGCTTTTTCACAAACACTATCACACTGCTGAGACGCCGTTGCTAAGCAACGACTCTGACCGCTGTAGGAGACGCTCAAGACATTTGAACGTTTTTACTTCTTACTTTGCCACAAACAGAAAATGGACACTTTTAAGATCACATTTGACCGACAGCCGATTTGGTCAGACTCTAAAGATGAGACGACACTAAATTCCCAAACTGTCATCACCACTGAGCAGCTTTTCAATCGGCAGCTGTGACAGAAGAACAGCTAAACAACCTGGAATCAGCCAGAAATGAACCCAACACCATTCGCCAAACTAAATGGGCTGTAAGATGCTTTACAGACTGGCTGGAACAAAACAACATTAATACTGATCTGGCAAAAACTGACAAAACTGAGCTGAACTTGATATTGCGGCAGTTTTATGGCTCAGTCTGTACTTCAAAAGGTGAGGCTTACAGCAGACTGAGCAGCGAGTGGGCGGAGCTCGTTACTCTGACGTAGCAACAAGCTGCTCGTTAAGGAACTATAATTTGGTGAAGGAACTGCGAACATTAAAACATATTAAACGCCGCGTTCACGGCCCAGTTTATTAATTTATTACTTCATTTATTTAACTGTTGTATTAAAGCAACAGAACACTCGAGGAGTGTGTTATCGCCAATAACATCACGGCTGTGATGATCTACGGCGACCAAATCACAGCCGTGATGTTATTTCGCGATAACACACTCCCTCTCGGGTTCTACTGCTTAAATAAAAATGATGAATCTTTCAGCCCCACACACACACACACACACACACACACACACACTCTACAAACACACACACACTCATACTCTACAAACACACACACACTCATACTCTACACACACACACACACACACACACACTCTACAAACACACACACACACACACAAACACACAAACACGGTTCAAATCTGTAACGCTGTATCACAAAAACCTAAAAAATATTTAAAAAATAAAACAAATTATCATTATAGTTTTTAATCTGTAGTGTTTCTCACACGCATTTGCTGTCATACAATTAGTAAACAGTGTCGTGTGGACGTTTGAGCCACTAGACTACAGCTGAACTTAAAAACAGATCTGCAGTTTGTGCCACATTCACTTATGCACTTCAGTAAGTCATACACTGACTAATCACATGAATCAGCCCACTGTCCAAACATTATGAGACACCACTGTGACCAAAGGACACCTGACCTTGTAGAAGTAGAAGGGCCTGAGCTGGAAGGTTTCTAAAATCCAAGGGAAGGTTCGCTGGGAGCTGTAAGCAAACAGTACCACCTCCAGACAGCAGGCCAAAAGAGAGCAGTGGAACACTTCCTGCTCCAACAGCCCCTGATGAGAAACAGAGAGAAAAATCCATAAATACATGCTTCGCTGCTGTTCAAACCTACATAATTCAAATATTTAGGCTCCCTCAAAAGGAATCATACAAGAACGGTTAAAATTACCCTGTGAAATATTTATTCCCAATGAGGTGTCTGTGAGATTTTTGTTTGTGAATCCTGTCTGGATCCTGTCTGGTGGTTAGTCTGGTCGCAAATTTACTGCGCAGCCTCTTGTAGTTTGAAGCTGAACCGTTTTGACTCTTGAACATGTAACAAAGATTTAAAACTGACCGAAGAAAAGGCCATTTCTGGATCCAGGGCGGATTAAAATCATTCTTTATAAAATCATTTTCTTGAAGTTGTATAAAATTAATAAAGTAAAAATAGCCATTTGATTTACTATCCAGAACCACCAGTGAACCAAAACGTGTCTTCCGAGTTTTATATGGAATGTTGATGTTAAAATAGTGGAAAATCTGAAAAATAAAAGTTTTCTTTTGGGACTATTTTACCTCAGTGTCCTGCATGCAGCTCTCCGCTTGATTTAGGTGAAAACCTTCTCAAAGCTATCGTAAAACAGTGTCTCAGTCATCAGGCAGTGAATTCATAACCACGTCATGTAGGAACTTTCTGTGAGGGAGCTTTTAGAGGTGGACGTCTGGTTCCTATCACCACCACTGTGAACAGTTCTGACTCGGGAAGTTTCTCTAGAGCAGAGCGTTTCACACCAAACCCCTCTGAACGACTCTGTTTACATCTCAACTGCACAATTATTCTAAAATAACCCTAACATTGCAAAAAGACAACAAAGGTGACCCATTCAGAGGTGGGTGATACAGTACAAACGGATATATTATTGACTAAAAGCACATTTATTTCCACTTTTTGCCCAAATCTTTATACACTGATACAATATGAGGACGACTTGTTGCAATAAAGTCAAGCAAACTTACAGTCATGTCTTTACCCTGAAGTCTCTTCATCTCCTGAGTCATGACGCTCTCCAGGATCTTATAGTACAGGATCTCAGCTAGCTTCAGACGGTTCTCAGCAAAATCTACACAAATTTTACATCAACCAAAAGAAAGAATGCAAGAATACATGCTTACATGCTTTTAAAAACAATTACATTTTTATGCATTTAAAGTACTTTGTCTGCACTCACTCCCCCACCCCTTTAAAACAAAAGGTATCTAACCCATATGAGCTCCCGGAAGGTCGTCGGTTTGTTTGGTGTAGCCCTGTTTAAAAGTCTCTCCTAAAGTCTTCACTCGATTCAAAATGGTCTCAGTTGGGTCACGAGAACAAGACCTGAGGAAATAAACACAAAAACAATAAATAAAGAATTCTTAATAATGAAATAAGGAACATGTTTATCCATTTAGGTAGGAAAGCTTATCTGGATCAAAAAACACAGAATTATAATGAATTTTCTAGTCAAGCCCTCAGCCTGTTAAACACACCTATGGGTTAAGCTGTAACATCTGCATTCGCTCTGCTTTTGGCTAAATTGTTCAGAAAGAACTGTGAATACAAAGACTTTTATTTAATATTCGGCATTCTGTGGTTCTGCGTCTAAATCCAGTTAAACGGCACTAATTCTGCTCTGACGATATTCACGATATGTTCAGAAAAGCATATTGTATTGTGACAAAGTTTATCGCAATGATGATATACACCGATCAGGCATAACATTCTGACCACCTCCTTGTTTCTACGCTCATTGTCCATTTTATCAGCTCCACTTACTATATAGGTGCACTTTGTAGTTCTACAGTTACAGACTGTAGTCCATCTGTTTCTCTGATACATTGTTAGCCCCCTTTTACCCTGTTCTTTAGTTTTCAGGACCCCCATGGACCCTCACAGAGCAGGTACGAGTGGATCAGACACAGCAGTGCTGCTGGAGTTTTTAAACACTGTGTCCACTCACTGTCCACTCTATTAGACACTCCTACCTTGTCAGTCCACCTTGTAGATGTAAAGTCAGAGACGATAGCTCATCTGCTGCTGCATAGTTTGTGTTGGTCATCCTCTAGTCCTTCATCAGTGGTCACAGGATGCTGCCCGCAGGACGCTGTTGGCTGGATATTTTAGGTTGGTGGACTATTCTCAGTCCAGCAGTGACACTGAGGTGTTTACAGACTCCAGCAGCACTGCTGTGTCTGATCCACTCAGACTAGCGCAACACACACTAACACACCACCACCATGTCAGTGTTACTGCAGTGTTGAGAATGATCCACCACCCCAATAGTACCTGCTCTGTGAGGGTCCATGGGGGTCCTGACCACTGAAGAACAGGGTAAAAGGGGGCTAACAAAGTATCAGAGAAACAGATGGACTACAGTCTGTAACTGTAGAACTACAAAGTGCACCTATATAGTAAGTGGAGCTGATAAAATGGACAATGAGCGCAGAAACAAGGAGGTGGTCATAATGCTTATGCCTGATCGGTGTAGGTTATATTGATATATAGTCATATTGCCCAGCCCTAGTTGCTTGTATGAGAAGCTGACCCATCTTGTTCAAACCCGTTTTTAATCAGCTTGGTTGGTGTTAGGTTGTGCTCTGCTCTCCCCTGTTACATGGACACTCACTTGAAGATCTGCAGCAGGGTGTCACTGGGGGCGTTGCGGAGGCCGGACACCATGCTCTGCAGTCGACTCACGCTCTGAGTTGCAGAGGAGACCGGTGTGATGAGCAGCTCTTTCTCCTTGAGGTACCTCCGACCTGTAAGCGGGGTGGAAGGAGCCAGGGAGCGTGTCTGCAAATTAAAGGAAAACATTATGGCAGGAATGACCACACAGTCCAGCTTTTAAACTGAAGTCATAAATGAATAACATTTTCTTGACTATAAATCATATTTAAATTTCAATGTTCATATTTACAGACCAGTCTGTAATGCTGGTAAAGCCGCTGTATGAGTGTAATTCCAAAGACCAACCACACAAAACACTACTGAATGCCACTTCTATCTATCAGGGCTTGACCAATATATCAGCTGACCGATAATATCAGCCAATAATGACAATCTACGGTATTTGTGATGTGCCGAAAGTTGTCAAGTTGTCAGTAAAACAGACTGAACTGGAGACTCCGAACAGAAAACAACATCTTGGCTAAAGTAAACACATGTAAAAAGTATTCAAACCTCATCTTTGGCATGAGAACAGCTTATTAGAACACATAAAACCTTTATGTAAAGAACTGATGATGAAAGCTAAGAAAAACAAGTCACAAATATCATAAAAGCGGTGAAGAACAGTGGGTAGCTCCGCCCCAGTGTTACAACATGTATATTATTTATTACTGCTGTTTATTTGAGATAAAGATGAGTGATAACTGAGAACTGAATCATATATGTCAATAAAGTGAATTCATTCAACAAACTACAGGAGTATAAAATTAAAACGTAAAACAGCCATAAAATTATACTGGCCAATATCACCAATTATCTGACTTTTCAGGCATCGGCTACGGCTACAAAATTACCATACTTGTCGAGACCGACTATCAACTTGGGGCGATTTTAATTTATTTAGTGTAATCTACACAGAACTCAAATCAACTCCAGTAATCTGAAGAAAACCTGTTTGAACGTAGTAACTCACATCACTACTGTTTGTACCAAAAGGGGGAAAAAGTTCAAGACTGTGAAAAATATCAAAATTCAATTTCAGATTCAGAAAAAAAGTAAATAAATAATAATGAAATGATCATTATACCACACCCCATCACTGTGCTGAGACACTGTAAACCGAGCTACTGACAGGACAGGCTCCCTGAGCACCAACTGGACGTTATGTATCTCTACTCTTTACTATGCACTGCCACTTTGTTTATACATCCATGCATATACACTATTAACGTATGTTATTGCTTACAGTGTTTAGTCACTCGGTGCATTCACTGGACGTGACATGCACCACTGCATTGTCACCTACATAATATTTATAAAAGTTATTAAACGTACCTACTTATTTTCATACACATTATATTTTATGGATTTTTTTAGTATATTTTATTATATATCTTTACTTCTTCTTCAATTTATGCACTTGTATAATAGTGTACGATAATACTTTTGCTTTTTTTGCTCTTTACTGAACTTTGTGCTGCTGTAATTGACGATTTTCCCCGCTGGGATTAATAAAGTGATCTATCTATCTATCTGTCTATCTATCATACAACGAACAGCCAGTACTTTAGTGTAGGTAACAGGTATTGGTAGAGATGCAAGAATATATCATAGATATATCAGCATTATCAGGATTTTGCCTATAAAAAAATATCAACATCTATTCTGAACTGGTTGATATCAGCCCAATATTTTTAACTGATATTTGATGATGTATTTATTAACCTCTAGAAGAGCAGAATGTTTAGGTGATGCTGGGTTACTACACTAAAATATCTGCATTTTTACTACAGAATAAATGTCAAAGTTTAAATAACTGTTATATTTATCTGCAATGCTAATCCAAGTGAATCTAATCTCAATTTCTACATTTTATAAATATTTATGTATTGGAATCAGAAGACGTGCATGAAAAATATCGGATAACGGCATCAGCCATCTGTGTATCTCTAGCTGACAAGATTGATTAGTTTAGCAAAGTGACACTGTTTCTGGTACCTTCTCAAAGTGCTGCTGCAGGTTGTTCTCCACCTGCATGCGGGCTGACAGTTGGCCAGATGGTGGCTCGATGGCAGCTTTGCGTGGGGTGCCAATCTCCTCGTCCGCATCGGCCCCCAAAAACACTCGCTCATCAAAGTCCCCCACGGTCAGGACGTACTCCTCATACTCACGATTTATGGCTTTACTGGATAAACACAGAGAAACATTCTGCTACACGCACATATATTTGAAACACAGCATCCAAAGTGCAATAAAAACAAAAACAAGCATAAATAAAAGAAAAAAAATCTCTTGCTTACTTATTATCTTGGAAGTTGGGGGTGTCCAGTAACTCAGTGAGGGTCTCTTCATCTCCTTTCAGAATCTGATATAAAGACATGATAATGTATCAGCAGCTCTGCTTCTATATTTATCTCTTCAGCAAACAGTGGCTCAATGCTAAGCGTAGTTCGACTATAGGACAGTCCGTGAGCCCGAAAACAGTGAAAACAGTGTCTGCTTACTCTTTTCTCAAACAGCCGTCGGATGTAGGGTTTGAAGTAATGCTCCTTTATTCCTTTCGCCTCTACGACTAGACCATCATGCAGCTCACACAGCTTCTCAATCACACAAGGAGGCTCTTCTGAGCTTCCAGAATCCTTTGGCAAACCTGGAGAAGAGAAGAGAGGGATGCGTTTTTCTTGCTCATACTGTGGCTTGAGTAGAAAAGAAGAGACAGAAAGTGGAGTGATGGTAGCATAGCGATTAAGAGCAGGGGTGTCAGACTCAACCACTAAAAGGGCCATATTAAAAATGTCATCAAATCCATGAGCCAGAGAAAAACAAAAAAAGTTTTCCTTTCATTTTTACTTAACTGGCCATTGTTTATCCACAATATGCAAAAACTTCAACAGTAAAATACAGACACTTGTAATAGACCATGAATTATTACATGAATACTTGAAATAGTCAAAGTTTAAATGTCCCCAAGTGTTCAATCTTTTAAACCTACTTATTTGCTTGAACTAGACCCCTGACATCCTTTCTTTGCTGCAAGTTCATTAAGATTTGGGCTCAATTTCTGAGCTGCTGAAGTTAAATGTTTATGTTGGTTAAACTGCAGCTGAAATGCATTTTGGTGATATGACTGGTGTGGAATTGCGCAGAATTGTGTAGAATTGAGGTGTAACTGCTGTCCAATAGATTGCTGCCGGGGTAGAAGAGTCGGGGCAGCACACTGTGAAACAGGCCAATATGAATATGTGACGATGCTTCGCCGAACCCCGTTAGGAGACACGAAGTCACCGGGTAGTTTGTAACTGAATGGGTGGTGGAATGCAGTTGCAGGCTGAAGATGTGATGACTCTGGATGATTCTTTGCAATGAGTGAGATTTATTTACACGGTGAAACACACAAAAGAAAAACTGTACAAACACAAAGTAAAAAGAGGTAAAATGTTGACCCGACTCGATCAGTACAGGTGAGTATAAATAGTCTCAGGCCGCAGGGCCACAGGACTATACTCTTTTTAGCTCAGCTCTTACTCCCTTTTCCTCAGTCTCCTCGCAATCTGAGGTGAGTATCCTCGAGCTAGCCCCCTACTAAACCCTTCCCCTGCCTCTTATAGGGTTAGCCCCACCCCTGCATCACCTGAGCTGAACCATTCCACTCTGCAGGGGTGTTGCTGTCCTATAAGAGTGGATTAAGAACAAGGATGAATAAAATCATAATTGCATATCACAAGGACTTAATGCGTGAAATGACCGGTGGGACATTTCATACAGTGCGCACATTGACTAGCCTGTCTCACTCTGTCTTCTGTGCCCTAGGTAGAGACATCACCCCTCTCATGAGCTAGCCGTGGGCCCTCCGGCACGCTCATGAGTGAGCTCCGTCTGCTCTGCCTCCCTTTTGCTGCTGGTGTTAGGAAACAGACAACAGGTGAGTATTACAGGTAGGTGTTCAGGTAAGTATCACACACACAGTCCTCTGGTGATGGGCAACACGTTTGCCTCATCACAGAATAGAAAATTAAAATACTTTTGCGGGCCGGATAGGATTGCATAGCGGGCCTTATTCTGTTTCACACGTGGGGATTAGAGTGTGAGCCTCCAAGATGAAGAGGCTTGAATCTCAGGAAGCCTCAGAGCATATAAAGGCAATATATCTTCTATATCAGTTTACCATGATACCAACATACCAAGAGTGATATTGTTTACCAATAAACTTGGTAGCAAGCCTTCTACCCTTGACATAATGCCTATAAAATAGAAGTGTTCCTGTTGCCAGGTGGCTCCTTTTTAGCTTTAAATGATATTTTGCCCTTTACTGATTGTATCCAAGATCTGACAGTTAAATGCAGTGTGTTAGTTACAGTACACAGGGTTTCTTTTGGTGTAATTTTAAGGGGCGAAAACAGACTCAGATTTTATATACTTTGGTGCTGAGCCACGAAGTGTCAGACCACGTAAAGTTACAGAGTGGGTCACCGAGAATAATCACACTTCTCTATCTGTCAGTCTGATGGACGAGTCTGGGTTTGGAGAACGTTACCTGCCTGACTGCACTGTGCCAGCTGTAGTTTGGTGGAGGAGGGATGATGATATGGGGCTGTTTTTCAGGGGTTGGTCTAGAACCCTTAGTTCCAGTGAAGGGGAATCTTAATGCTTCAGCACCAAGACATTTTGGACAGTTGTACACTTCCAACTTTGTGTGAACAGTTTGGGGAAGAACCTTTCCTGTTCCAGCATGACTGAGCCCCAGTGCACAAAGCAGCTCCATAAAGGCCTGACTGGGTGAGTTTGGTGTGGAAGAACTTGACTGACCCTCACAGAGCCCTGACCTCAACCCCATCCAACACCTTTGGGATCAACTAGAATGGAGATTGTGAGTCAGACCCTCTCGTCCAACATCAGTGTCTGACCTCACAAATGCTCTTCTGGATGAAGGAGCAAAAATTCCCACAGACTCTCCAACATCTTGTAGAAGCTTCCCAGAAGAGTGGAAGCTGTTAGAGCTGCAAAGGGGGACCAACTCCATATTAACACCCATGGATTTAGAATGGGATTCATAAAAGCTCCTGTAGGTGTAACCTGCAGGTGTCCCAATACTTTGTCCATATACTGTATATATGTATACCTGTGCTATTATAGATACCTAACAGTAACACTAAAACAAAACTCACTGTGAAAAAATGTGTTCGGTCCCTTCTGTGTTCGGTTGTCTTTCAGGAAAGGAGGTACTTGTGTGTAAGATGCATGTCAGGTTTTTTGTCTGTAGCTTGAAACTGGTGAAATTTAATCATATGTCTGTAAGCATTACCTCTGAAGTGTGGATTGATGAGGTCCTTCTTGTTGCTGCAGAGTAGAGCGTTACCAAAGACCAGGTCCAGACAGCAGAGGAGGAGATGGTAGGAGTTCACCAGATCATCGCCAATCATACGGAAATTACCTGCATTAGACCATTAAAACAGCACCGCTTCAATGCACAGGACCTGGATTTTCAGGAAATTAGAACTGAGCACTGAATCAATGTCTGAATCATCACTACATCATGAACTACATACAGTGAATATGAACCATCATTTAACAGGCATCCACACCCTGTGGTACTTTTTGTATGTGGTCATAGCGCCCAAAGGGAGGTGCTAGGGAAGCCAGGACAATAGGAGTTCCAGTTTAATAGCCAAGCCTTTTATTAGTTCTCTGAAAACCACCAAATAAGTGCACTATTTACAAGTGACGAAAGTAAAATATAAAAGAACAAACAAAACTGAAATATGTTTACAAAATAAACGAGGCTCAATGCAGACTTTATACCAGTTATTTATCCCCACAACTTAGGGCTTGCCAACAATAACTTCTGGCTTTAGTCCACAGATTCTGTCCTCTCACAGCAGACGCTGTTTGTCTGCAGGACACTTATGGAAGACTTGTTCCGCTCAGTCCACCTCTTTGAGTTAAGCTCTACCGCCTTTATGGCTTCCTCTTCCCGCCAAACGTGATCCGACTGTACTACCCAGAGGTGACAACCTCTTTGCTCTTTTACAAATCAAACCGCTTCCCCAGGCGGACAATGGGTGATTTCTACCCCTCCCACATTTGAATGTCTTCCCCCCCGGAAGCCTAAAAGTAAGTATACATTTTCTTTATTGCCCTCTTTTGTTTTCCTCCTTTGGTTTCTTTTTGTACCAAGTCAGATGTTTGAGTTTTATTATTTACCATGTTTTAAAAGTGAAAGTTTATGCTGCCTGCTCCGGTATGTACACTCTCTTCACAGAGGCATTTAAATTAATAATCGCGCACTTATACATCGTCCTCTTAAAGTCCACTGTCGGTTCTCTTTTCCAGTGAGGAGGTGTGGCCTTGTAGTCCTTGTCTGGTGATGGTGACTCGGTCGTAGTCATCATCACAGCCACCCTTTCTAATTAGCGGACAAAGCTACTTTAAGGTGTACCCGTTGCTCACACCTGTGTTGAAAAGTGCCAAAACCGTCATATTATCTGCCCAGACAAGCTACAGAAGTAGAAAAGGGCATGTTGGAACAGCCACACACAAATCTGAGCTCACCACGCCCAACACCAAGCCTGGGCTAGAGGGGTATAAAGCCTGTCAGAGTAAATAATGTTATTTATGCTGATCCTAATAGTACTGGAAATGTGCTAGTGTGTTCTATAGGTTCATTTATCCCACATAGTAGCTAATAAATAAGGCCAAAAACTGTCTAAGGGCCAACTTGCTTAAAATCTCCACAGAAAAGCACTGACCAATAGAATGGGACGCTCTGGAGCAGCTACACATGATCCTAAAGTCACCATGCCCAATGCCAAGCGTGGGCTAGAGGGGTATAAAGCCCCCCCAGCATTGGGCTGTGGAGCAGTGGAACTGCGTTCTCTGGAGTGATGGAGCTCCATCCAATACCTTTGGGATGATTATTGATCCAGAACTGACCATCCAACATCAGTACCTGACCTCACTAATGCTCAATCATATTCTCACAGCAATGTTCCAACATTTAGTCCAGAAGAGTAGAGTCTGTTACTGCAGCAAAAGGGGACAAACTCAGTACTAACACTAGTGATGTACACTACTCAAGTACTCGGTTTGAGGGGTCAGCATTTGAATACTGAAATCACAATTCAGGTATTTTTAGACAGAAAGACCTAAAATCAATAGTTCTGTTCGTGTTAGTGAGTAAGCACATTATGGTATATTTTGCGTAAGTGAGTATGTTGTTTAGGATGTGACTGAGAAGGCAAATACGGCATGACCGCACCACTAACTAAGCTAACCACTCTAGCTGACCTAAGCTAAGTCCAGAAACAACGAAGACATTTTATCTGAAGAAAGAAAATTGACGTCTTCATCAGCATCCAACGTGAAACTGGTCAGCTCTGTTGGCTCATTAGCTCATCTGAAATGGTAGCCGCTGTTGCTCATCCAACAAGAAAACCTACCATTTCTTTCTCTACTTTTGAATAAAAAGCATGTTTTCAAGTGTATTTCTTCACATACTGCTATATTTTTGTGGAACACCATTGCCACCACCTAAAGAGGCAAAGCTCCAGCCCTGCAGTCCTTTAGCCAAAGTGTTTTATTTTTCTTCCTTTCCTTAGTTAACCAGACGTCTGTGAAATCCTACAGATACCTGAATATCAAAATTAGTCAGAACGCACATTGCCTAATACCACTGATTTCAGAAGAACCACTAGATAAACCAGTGTCTACAAACTTTTGGACATAGTGTATAACTATTTGTGCCATAATCAACATTGGAGAAATGAACTGACAGTCAACAACATAAGCAGGTAAAGGAAAAGGTGACTTACCTTTGGTATACACGAAGAGCGTCCAACAGAACTTGAAGACATCGCTGATGTGGCATGGAAGGCGCCTAGAAGAAAGCAATATAATTACTAAAAAGTATATTTGTTCAAACTGCAAAGTAGCTGTGGTACAACAGAGTGAACAGATAAGAAAACAAAACCAGAAAATTAAATAAGAACAGACAGAAAATCTAACACAGACTGAGGAGATGGACGAGTGAGTGTATGAGACAACGTTCACCTGTGCTTCCTCCCTCTTGGCAGACGAGGAGGTTCACCCTGAGGATTTTGAAACATGTCCAAAAATATTGGTTCAAATTTACGGAAAATCACAGTCGATACTTCGAAGTTCCTCTCTAGGCGGCTTATGCGGTTCCGGAAATCCTGGGAGAGGTTTGACATGTCTGCCCATTTCTTCATCTTGCTGAAGAACTGGATCAGGCTGAAAACAGAACAAACACACGGAGCGTTAAGGACACACCATTCACCAGCCTCTTTGTTATGAACGCAGTAAATGAACAATGAGTTGAAGTCAAAACTTCTGGTAAAACAATGGTTGTGTTTATATGCACTCAATAATCTGATCACAATCTGATTTCTAAGGTTACCTGATTATTCAAATGGTCGTGTAAACATCTTACTGCGATTTCTTAGTAAGTAAGAAGGTCTAGAAATCTGATTAAGAGATCCGATAAAGAAGCTAGATTTCCGCTCAGTAATCAGATTTCTCAGTGCATGTAAACTCTTACTCTGATTTCTTTCGGATTTCTCAGTGTGAGCATGTGCAAAAACCAAATACATGCTTGATGAAATGAAGGATTTAAATATTCTTCGTCTTCTAGATGACGCATGTTCATATTTTCAACTAAAGTGACTTTTTTTAAAAAAAGAGCAGCGACATGAAGTTACGTTACGTTTACATCACGTCTTATTCTGTGAGATTACTGGCCGGTTGTGAAGCAGAAATCTGATTGCTGTCTGACTCAGCGTCTGTGTTTACATGCAAAGATTTTTGCCAATCCGACTGAATACATTCCGATTACAGATTCAGACTGAGGTGTGTATTCTCACTCTATTCAACAATCTGATGAAAATCTCCGTTTACATGCTCACTACAAGTAATCAGATCCAAAACGACGCGCATGCGTAGAGAACCGCTTAGTGTAGATGTTACCATGACAACCAGCATCACGTAAGTCCAGTCAGAGTGAGATGAGCAGCAGTGAGCAGTGCTTGTGTTTTTAATTGCTTTAAAATGATGTCCTTCACATGTCCTTATTAAAGAAGACCGAGAGGAAGACGTCGTGTTCTGAGACACATAAGCTGGACGTCCGTCCCACCGCCGTCTTTTAAAGATCAGAGCATAAACTTCGTCTCCTCTGCAGACCAGTTTCTGCTCCGCCATGTTGAACGGTATAAACTTTCACTATGACGCGACGAACATGATCAGAACGGACTTAAACTTTCCGACTGGGAATGTAATCAGATACAGACGTTTACACGGATATTATTCTTCTATTTAACAGATTATTTACAGGTTTTCCCACCTCGATCAGTCGGATAGAAACTGTATTCTGGATGGCCTCAATCAGACCAGACTACTCTAATTGAGATGTTTACATGGACGTATTGTATTCCGATCGAGCTATCAGTTGGATTATTAGGATGCACGTAAACGTGGCTATTTAGACCTGGAGTTTCCCCATTATCTGATTACTCAAGTGCATATCAACGCGTTGATCAGACAAAATCTGATTTTCCACAATTATCGGAGTCCATGTAAACACACTCAATGTCTCAGTCATCAGGCAGTGAATTCATAACCATTTCATGTGGTAACTTTCTGAGGGAGAGCTTTTAATGGTGGTTGTCTGGTTCCTATCACCACCACTATGACCAAGTCTGACATTAGAGTAAACCATTTCATACCAAACCACTCTGAATGACTTTCTTTCCATTTTAACTATTTAATTATGCAGACGTTTTGAAAGACCAGTGGAATTCCGCTTTAAAGCAAGTGGTTAAAAGCGCAAAATAATAACCTACAGATCTACAGATCTCTTTACCTGAGTTTGGAGGAGCGGAGGATCCTGGTGAGGGAGACGCAGTTGCCTTCCACCAGACCTCTCCCAACAGTGGGAGTGGAGCCTTTTCGGCAGGCAGCGTACAGAGAGCAGGCCAGCCAGTGGACCACCTCACCCTGAGAGAGAGACAGAGAGAAACAGAATACTCAGCAAATTCTAGATCATACATGATAATATGATCAATAATAGTAGTAGTAATAAAACCTTTATTAATAGCCCTCTTTTACCCTGTTCTTCAGTGGTCAGGACCCCCATGGACCCTCACAGAGCAGGTACTATTTGGGTGGTGGATCATTCTCAGCACTGCAGTAACACTGATGTGGTGGTGGTGTGTTAGTGTGTGTTGCGCTGGTCTGAGTGGATCAGACACAGCAGTGCTGCTGGAGTTTTTAAACACCTCAGTGTCGCTGCTGGACTGAGAATAGTCCACCAACCAAAAATGTCCAGCCAACAGCGTCCTGTGGGCAGCGTCCTGTGACCACTGATGAAGGACTAGAGGATGACCAACACAAACTGTGCAGCAGCAGATGAGCTATCGTCTCTGACTTTACATCTACAAGGTGGACTGACAAGGTAGGAGTGTCTAATAGAGTGGACAGTAAATGGACACAGTGTTTAAAAACTCCAGCAGCACTGCTGTTTCTGATCCACTCAGACCAGCGCAACACACACTAACACACCACCACCACGTCAGTGTTACTGCAGTGCTGAGAATGACCCACCACCCAAATAGTACCTGCTCTGTGAGGGTCCATGGGGGTCCTGACCACTGAAGAACAGGGTAAAAGGGGGCTAACAAAGTATCAGAGAAACAGATGGACTACAGTCTGTAACTGTAGAACTACAAAGTGCACCTATATAGTAAGTGGAGCTGATAAAATGGACAATGAGCGTAGAAACAAGGAGGTGGTCAGAATGTTATGCCTGATCAGTGTATATATATATAAATGAAATGACTAAATAAAAGTACACTGCAAACAGCAGTGACCTGTTTTAGAGCTTAAGCAGTTTGTTTTCCAGGAAAATGAGCATTTCTGCTCTCTGTGCAGTCAGACGGTTCCTCTTTTAATCCACATCGTATGACGCTGCTCTAAATAACCTTTCACTTTCTGCGCTGCTGCAGGGGCACAGAGATGTCTTAAGGCAGTGGCAGCAAGAGTAGGAAACGGAAGAACAGGGAAAAGTTCCTACACGGGGCTTTTATTCTGACGCACCGCTTCATAGATAATTATCTTAAACAAACGAGTTTGCCTGTCACATGATCATTCATCAGAACGATTTAGGGAAAATACTGCATTTTTTCTGACGAATATTTCGACTGCAATTTAAATTATGATTATTGTCTACAAGGTTCAGGCCTGTTTTTTTGGCCAAGAAGTTCAGAATATGCAGTTTTTCTGGCTTTAGGCCTGAACCCTGAATGTTGTGGGCCAGACTGCCAGTAAATCATGGCTGCGATGTCCCAACACATGGAGGTTTGGCTGCCTCTGATTGGTCTTACTTATCTACAGACAGCTCACAAGCTCTGTATTATTAGGTTAAATTTCCCCACTTAATACTTGAGACGACACTTTTGATAACGCAGACTTTAATTTTAACTGCAGCTCTTGCAATTTAAAAACTGCACTCTTAAATTGTTATTTCAATATAAAAACAATTAATCTTTCAGCCCTAATTATTACATGTATGAGCTCTGTTCTGTTAATAAAAACAGAAAATGATGATATTGATGATAATGTTTGATATTTATCACGTTTTGGAATAAAGTGCTTCAAGTGAAGCGTGACGGTACTGAACGTGTATCGGACACATCTAGTCGATATCAGATTTAATATGGTTAAACATGGTCAGAATTGGTGCCGATCTGATCCACGGCTTTGGGTCGGCTCATCACTGGTTCCTATTGGCCAAAGTCAGATTGTAAATGCATTGTTTGTTCTTTAAGAGAGAAAGAAATAATTGGCTACTTAGCACAATCAGTCATGCAAAATCGTGTTATGACATTTTGGTACTGGTGTGTCATGTTATTTCAGGCATAAAACTGCAACGCATTTCAGTAAAAATCAAAATAATAAATAGCCCAACTGCAGTTTTGCGGTAAAAAAAATCAGGTAATTTCAGTCGTGCACCCTTATGTAGAAAAAATATAGTATAATCTCCAACGCAAGCTGTCTGTTCAGTTAACTTTTCCCCTAAATACAGCATCGCTGCTGTACAAGAACCTTATATCTCCGTTTCTGGTGTATTTTTACTTTTTTTGAATAATTCGGAAAGTCCAGTTACCCTTTACCTCAACATTTATTGATGATTGGACCAATAAAAATTCTCCAAAATGACTGGGGGAAAATGATTACATTAACTTCCATTATGGAGAATGTTTACTGTTTTAAACGTACTACATTGGAGGTTTTATTCTGACAGCAACAACGCCTCGCTGAGGAGGCTCCCCCTGAAATTAATTCATATTGAAGCTGCCTAAAACGATTTTCTCAAAAGTTCTGGATAATCCAATCACTGCGACGTAAACACTGATTCAGAGTGGTTTGGTGTGAAATGGTTCAGATGTCTTTACAGTGGTGGTGATAGGAACCAGGGGTCGCCATGACTACAACACAGATATAGACATTTTATTTACTATCCAGAACCACCAGTGAACCTACACGAGTCTTCTGAGTTTATATGGAATGTTGAGGAAAATCTGAAATAATCAGTTTTCTTTGGGGACTATTTCGCCTCACAGCACCCTGCATGTATCCCTCCACCATGAATGGATTTAAAAAATACATTTTAGGCCAAAATCTTCTCAAAACTATCATAAGAGAGTGTCTCAGACATCACCAAACCACTCTGAATGAGTTTGTTTACAATTTAATGATTAAATTATTCTGAAATGTTTAGAAATCAATGGAATTGACTTCAATGTCCACTAGACTGTACACACGATGTCAGCCTAATTGAAGATAAAGTTAAATCAATCATTTTTCTGGACCCTGTGTGGTTCAGATGTTTGGTAACAGTCACATGGACATTAGACACGAAATCAACTGGAATTAAAACACTAAACGTGAATTATTACAGGTTTGGGATACACAGACAGCACATACGTCCACGACCGGAAGGAGCGGACTGGACATTTAACTCCAGTAAAGCATGAAACTTATTATTATTACTTCTATCAGCAACTAGAGTTTTGCAGACATTATTAAAGGGGAACTTCATTGATTTTTCAAAATGTGTGCATAATTAAATGGTTGAGATGTAAACAAAGTCCTTAAGCAGAGTCGATCAGAGTGGTTTGGTGTGAAACACTCTGTTCTAGATAAACTTACCAAGTCAGAACTGTTCACAGTGGTGGGGACAGGAACCAGACATCCACCTCTAAAAGCTCCCTCACACGTTTGAAAAGAGTTTCTCCTAAAATGCATTTTATTTTACATTCATGATGGAGGGACAGATGCAAAGCTTTGAGGGGCAAAACAGGCTTCAAAGAAAACGTATTTTTTCAGGTTTTCCCATCATCAACATTCCATATAAACTCAGAAGACTGTAGGTTCACTGGTGGTTCTGGATAGTAAATAAAATGTCTATATTTGTGTTGTAGTCACGGCGACCCCTGGTTCTTATAACCACCACTGTAAAGACATCTGAACCATTTCACACCAAACCACTCTGAATCTCTTTGTTTACATCTCAAACACTTCAGCCTCGAAATGTTGAAAAATCAGTGGAACTCCACTTTAACTGAAAAACCCTGCTTTGTTAGCTGGTTAGCTACTTTAGCTAGACAGCTAATACCAAAACAAATGAATACTGTTAACATTTCAGGTTAATTAACCTTTTTCAAGATCTAGATTGAGCCTAATACGGTTTTAACGGCAAAGCAAAGTTGGTATTGCTATTTAGTCCAAGATGATACCAAATTCACGTTTAAAAAGCAGCCCGAACGAAACTGAAGTAAGCGTCTTATTCGAATTCTCCGTTCCACCTTAAATGGTGCAGCAGTTCCATTCTAGCGCACCATTTAAGGTGGAACGGGGAGTTAGGATGAGAAGCGTACTTTAGCCTCGTCTACAGTCTTGGCTGCGTAGTCAGTGAAACTACAACCTGGATAACTAGTTCTAGGATTAATCTGGAGGTGTAATATTAGTAATATTAGTAATATTTGTAAAGATATCGATCTGAGAGCCGCGGACCTCCAGAGTGTATGTGTTCCAGATGGTGGTGAAGTTCTGCAGCGCTTCCGTCGCCGTCTCCTCGTCCATGTTTAGCTCCTGACAGAGCGCGTCGAGGCTTCTCCGAATCGAGCCACCGTCGTCCGATTTTCCAGACTCGGAGTCTGTTTCGTCTCCTCTCATCTCGCTGCTGTGGGGAAAAACAAAACCTCTAAAAATGTCTTTATAAACAAAGAAGCGGCGGCGGCGGCGACCTCCGGCTGCTAGCCCACAGTGCTCGCGGACCCGAATGGCGCGAAATCTGCCCGCTCCCAGCCAATGGGAGCACGGCATCGACCTGCTTACGTCACGTATAGTAACAACAACAAAACATGGCGGTGTGTAGGACAGGACGATATTCAGACAATTCGTAATCGCGATATTTTCCAAATTATATAACGGCGTTATATGGTGATTAAAGGGGAACGCCACCGATTTTTCAAAAAAATCGATGTAATTTAATGGTTGAGATGTAAACAATGTCATTCAGAGTGGTTTTGGTGTGAAATGGTTCAGATGTCTTTACAGTGTTGGTAAAAGGAACCAGGGGTCGCCATGACTACAACACAAATATAGACATTTTATTTACTATCCAAAACCACCAGTGAACCTATACAAGTCTTCTGAGTTTATATGGAATGTTGATGATGGAAAATAGTGGAAAATCTGAAATAATAAGTTTACTTTGGGGACTATTTTGCCCAACAACACCCTGTATGTATCCCTCCACCATGAATGGATTTAAAAAACACATTTTAGGACAAACCCTTCTAAAAACTATCATAGGACAGTGTCTCAGACATCACCAAACCACTCTGAATGAGTTTTATATGGAATATTTATGACAGTAAGTTTTCCTTGGGACTGTTTTGCCTCACAACACTCTGCGTGTATCCCTCCACCATGAATGGATTAAAGTCACAAAACAATCATAAAACAGTGTCTCAGAGAGCAGGCAGCAGATATCTAACTATTTCATGTAGTAACTTTCTGTGAGGGAGCTTTTAGAGGTGGACGTCTGGTTCCTATCCCCACCACTGTGAACAGTTCTGACTCAGTATGTTTTTCTAGAACGGAACGTTTCACACCAAACCACTCTGAATGACTCTGTTTACATCTTAACCAGTTAATTATGCAGACATTTTGAAAAATCGATGGACTTCCCCTTTAATAATGTCTGCAAAACTCTTTACTGGAGTTAAGTGTCCAGTCCTCCTCTTCTGGTCGTGGACGTATGTGCTGTCTGTATGCCCCAATCCTGTAGTAACTCATGTTTAATGTTTTAATTCCAGTTGATTTCATAGCTAATGTGCTTGTGACTCTTACCAAACATCTGAAACACACATGGTCCAGAAAATTGATTGATATAACTTTATCTTCCTTTAGACCAGGGGTGTCAAACTCAACCACTAAAAGGGCCTTACCAGTCCTCAACATACTGTACATACTGTACTGTACACTGTGGACACTGTATATGTTCAAAATTCTGTATATTTGTAAGATATTTTGCACTGTATTTTTTGTATTTACATAACTGTACATATATATGTATATATATATATATATATATATATATATATATATATGTGTGTGTGTGTGTGTGTGTGTGTGTATGTACACTGACCCTAAATTTAGAATTTATATTGTTAATTTATTTATTATCATATTCATTATCTTTACAAATATTCATATTCTTGTTATATTTATTGTACATTTTTCCTGTTGCACTGTTATTTTTTCACATAATGCTACTGTTTGCACTTGTGGTAGATACTAACTGCGTTTCATTGCTTTGTACTTGTACTCAGCAATGACAATAAAGTTAAATCTGTATCTATCTATCTATCTGAGGTCCCCCTCACAGGCCCTGAGGTAGAATCTGCAGGTTACAGTAAATTACATTCAAATATAGATATAAAACCTGTAATGAAAATTGTTTACACTACAAAGTAAACGCAAACAGCAGGGGGCGCCCTGACCACCTACACCATCTGCTGGTTGCCTTTATTTCACCATATGGAATCTTGAAAACAATAAAAAAAAACACTTGAAAATGAAACTTTTGTTATTTTACAGCCATACAACAACAGTAATTATGAACTAATAGAGAAAATAAATGAAGTGTATTTATCAAATACAATAAAATTGTATAAAAATGGCCCCTTTTTTGCTTAATGTACTTCAGTGTTTGAATTACATGTTGTAATGAATCAATGTATTTGAAAAGTATCTCATATATAATTAAATACATGCCCAAAGGCTTAATAACTAATATTACCTAACGCATTTGTGAACATGAACAATACATGAAGTACAACATTAATAATAGTTAATAATAAGTAAACAAGTAACAACTTCATCAGTTAATGTTGTCAATTTAAGATTAAATGAACAGTTATACTGATTAACTAATGTTAAGCAAGCATTAGTTAATGTTGTTTTCACATTGTGTTGACAAACATTAACTAATGTACAACCCCAATGATGCAAATCATTTAAACCCTATATTTAATTGAAAATAGTACAAAAACAACATATCAAATGTTGAGACACAGAAATTTTATTGTTTTTTGAAAAATAAACAATAAACAAACAATGAATTTGATGCCAACAACACGTTCCAAAAAAGTTGGGATGGAGGCAACAAAAGGCTCGTGAAGTTATGTAATGCTAAAAAAAAACTGGTGGTAAATTGGGTATAAAAAGAGCTTTCAGAAGTAAAGATGAGGAGGGGTTCACCACTCTGTGAAAGACTGCACCATCAAATAGTGCAACAATTTAAGAATAACATTTCTCAACAAAAAATAGCAAAGAACTTTTCCTTTTCATCATCTACGGTACAGAATATCACTAAAAGATTCAGAGAATCTGGAGAAATCTCTATATGCAAGGGTCAAGGCCAAAAACCAGTATTTGCTGGCCGTGATCTTTGGGTCCTCAGGCAGCACTGCATTAAAAACAGACATGATTCTGTAGTGGAAATCACTGCATGGGCTCAGAAACACTTCTGAAAACCACTGTCTGTGAAAACAGTTCATCACTGCATCCACAAATTCAAGTTAAAACTCTAAAACGCAAAGAAGAAACAAATACACACAGGATCCAAAAATGCTGCCACCTTCTCTGGGCCCGAGTTCATTTAAAATGGACTGAGGCGAAGTGGAAAAGTGTCCTGTGGTCCGATGAATCAACATTTGAAATTCTTTTTGGAAATCATGGACACTGTGTCCTCCGGGCTAAAGACCACTCAGCTTGTTATCAGTGCACAGTTCAAAAGCCAGTATTCATGATGGTGTAGGGGGGCATTAGTGCACATGGCATGGGTGACGTGCACATCTGTGAAGGCATCGTTAATGCTGAACGATATATACATGTTTTGGGAACATATGCTGCCATCCAGACGACGTCTTTTTCAGAGAAGGTCTTGATTATTTCAGCAAGACACTGTCAACAGTCTGCATGTATTACAAAAGCATTGCTCCAACATTTTTGGAAATGGGGTTGTATCTGTAAACATTAAAAACACAAGATACAACATTAATAATGGTTAGATAATATTAAGTAATAAATAACAGCTGCATTCATTCATTACATGTAGTTTTCACGTCAGGTATGTGAAGTACTGATTAACTCACAGTAATCCAAGAACCAGAACAACAGAGTGAAAATAAACCCCCAAACCATTAACTATTAATGTAGCATCTTGTGTTTTTAATGTTAGTCAACTCTTAATGTGAAAACAACATTAACTAATGCTGTTGTTACTTGTTCACTCAATATTTGCAAAACATTATTAAGCAGTAGCTCATTTGTTGTTCTTGTTAACAAATGCATTACATAGTATTAGTTAGTAAACACTTATTGTAAACTGTTTTTTTTCTGATCTTTATCCACTTCAGATCATTCTGTACACAGTCAAATACAACTGAACTATGAAACAGGCATCATTCTGTAGTTGATGTCATGCCCAAATAAGGAATTCTGGGCCTAAGTCATTGTTTTCTACTGGAAAAATTAACAAAGCTATCAAAAATTGATATAAAATGGTAAAATTGGTATTGCGCCCCATCGTTCACAAAAATCCAAAAACTGGTATGTTTTGTCCTGTGTACCGTCCTCTCAATGTCACTGAAACCTTTGAATTACAAGGTCATTCAGCTGAAATCCTGTGCATTTAATTGATATTGCATTAAAGTGAGTTTATACCATACAAATTAAACACTATTATATAACAACTAGAGCCTGTTTCACACACACTTCCTCTGCAGAACATCAGAATTTATGTATAAAATGCCTCTGAATGTCAGTCAGTAGGGAAAATATTGCTCCTTAAAAGTTGTATTATTTTTATCCTGCTTATCAGGATGGATTTGAGTGTCAAATGCATCAATTTTGGATTAAAAATGTTAAAGTTTTAGTTGTGAAACTGTTTAAGCAGCATAGATAGGAAAGAAAACAGTGCATGGTCACAAGATGGCAGCAAATCAATGTGCAAGGTTTCACATCAGCGCTGTGACGCTGAGGATGCAGGATGAGAGCAGAGTCTGTCCTGATCCTGTGATTCATACATCATCGTCTAAAGGAATTTCAGGGAGTTATCAGTTTGAGAATCAGTGAATCTGAAAGGATCTCAGCAAAGTTATCTGGGGTTGCTGGGGACCAGAATGATATGCATTATTAGTATTACTTCCCCCTTCTGGCTACTTTAAGATACTGATTATGTAGCATCACTTTCCACTGGAAAGAAGAATAAGTTCTCCTAAAACGAGACTCTCTCCATGCCAGTTTATTAGGTACCTTGTAGCTCCACTCAGTGGACATTTTATCAGAAACACCTACCATATTATTGCACTGTGTAGGTTTACAGTTAGGCTGCAGCTCATCTGGATAATTCATCAGCCCTCCTCAAGGCAAGTTTATTTATATAGCACCTTTCACACACTGTGGTCATTCAAAGTGCAGTACAAATGATGAAATGCAAAGATAATTCAAATTAAATTAAATATAATTTAAAAAGTAACATAAAATAAACAAGAATAGAAATTAAAAATATGACTAAAACAGTAGATTTTAATCAGTAAAGATGAACTCAGTCTTAATAATAATAACGGCACAAAAATGTTGCCAATGTGATCCATCAGGCCCTTGCCTAGATGTTAGGGCTAGTGGAGGAGCATGCTCCGTACTACAAATGCAAGCCTGCAATGCAGTATTAGAGAATAGGCAGAGCGAGCTGTTAAAAGAGGTGTC